TTTATATATACATGTATGTGTGTTTTTAAAAATCTGTTCCTTTTGTGCCTCTGGAATCTGCAAAGCTGCTGTTGCAGTTATGTGTCTTACCACACATCCATTGGAGACAACACTGGTTTGGTCTGGTTTGTTCATTAAAGGGAATTCACTGACTTGGACACATAATTTAAAGTTTAGCTATCAATGAATGGCTCAAAAGCCACTGTGGTAGAGCAAGAGGCAGCTTGTGCTTGTACCATCACTTTCATTGCAAAGAGCAGGGGACTTTCTTGGAGATTACCATTGCTTTCTGTAATTTCTGCCTCTCTCTATGGTGATGTTCCTGTGGCTGAGTCGTTCATTGAGACAAAGGGCACACACATCACCTGTGCCTGCTCTTGGGGCAGCTGCAGCGTTCTCTCTCTGTTTCTCTTTGGGTTTCCATAGTGCTTTGTGTGTGTAAACTGACAGCAAGTGCTGTTTGTGGAGGATATCGCAGTCAAGTTAGGTAATACTTTGATATATAGTGCTCTTTAAAACAAATGTGGGAACTTTGGCTTCAAAACAAGAAATAAATGTGAATGCTTTATCCTTCCACCCTTTTGCTTGTGCAGATAGATGCATGCTGTATTTCTTACATAGGTTGAAAGAAGGTACTTGAAAAAAGAGAGGAGGTAATTTGAATAAATATCTTCATCAATTTTATTCCTCAGACTCTTTGATTTCTCTTTGGTAGTGGTGTTCATGCCACTGCATGTCTACTGCTGTTGCTGTTCTGATCAGGATGCCTTTCAAAGCTCAAAATACTTCCTCAGTGTTTAGCCAATGAGTTAAGTGAGAATGTTTCAGAGAGTGAAAGAGAGATGATGTCACTGCAGAAGATCCTCTATTTACTTCTATTTATTTGTATCTTTGCACATGTGTAACCATTTCTTGTGTCTGTATGTATATATCCTTTAAAGAAGGGCAGCTAGCATATATCAATGAATATTGACACTATCAATATGTATTTATACTAATACATATGTTTATGCCCGAGTAGAGAAGCTCCTCATTAGTATCAACATTTGGTCTAATCAGAATTTAAATCTCCAGCAGATAAGGCAGGTATAGGGTGAAATATTTTCCTGTGGGATTCTAGATATTTCTTTCCTGGCAACTGGCTTCTAAATTCTGGCATTTGATGATATCAGCCAGTTAAAAAACCCCAAATAGTAAGGTCTTTACACATACTGTTTTGCCCATGGGACTTACAAATTCTTCATACTGAAAAGATTCAGGAGTGTCCAAAGGTAATTGATTCACCCAAAGTCAAAGACACCATCCTTTCCTGATGGATATATTTTCATGGGGGACCTGTGGGAGTTCCTCTAGATCCCCCTGCAGCCTATCAATTACATTAAGTAACTGATCTTGCTTAATGTAGGGGTATCACTCCTTTTTCATGTGACCTGTCAGGATGAAGTTCACAGCTGCTAAAGATATATCTTGCAAGATCAGGCCCTCTACTAGTGCTAGATGAGTCATGGAAATCAGAAAAAAAAAATGATGTGCTACTTAGGTTAGTTCTACCTGGAATGGAGTGAAAGCTGTCACTCTTATTATAGGACTTGGAAGCACAGTTATGCCTAATATTTGTCTCAGAAGTCCCATTTATGAGTAATTCCTTTTCACTGATCAGGCAGTCTGGCATGTACAAGCACTCGGTGCCTACCCACCCACACTTTGTCCTTTCTGTCTTCATCTGAAATATTCCACTCTAGGGCTCAGTAATACAAATTTGATGAACAAATGATATGCTGCAAGAGGGAAAATATAATATGAAGTAAATTAGTTGGTTGCTGCTGCTTTCCAAGTGCCTGAGCTCTTAGAACAACTCATAAAACCAGAGATTTTCAGTTTTCTTTTAGCGTTTTCCAGCTCTTTATGTTAAACTATATGAACTCTTATTCAAAGTATTGGTGTGGTAAAACTCTTTTATTCCATTGAAGGAGAAAAATGGGAGAGGTATTACCAGTATATTATTAAAAATACAAACCCACCTAGCTCTTTCTAGAACTCTTCAACATTTACCATGTACACAGTACTGCTAATCATAACATAGGTTTGTACATTCTTTGAAGGTTTAATATATACTTTTTATTTTCCTGGCAATTACAAAAGCCTGAAAGACCCCATGGCATCAGGTGGGTTGCGAGTGTGAACTTTCTCTCTGCCTCAGGTGCATGCCATTAGTCTTTAGGTAAGATGCAGTGACCCAGAGCACCAATCAGGAGAAAATGTGGTGGTTGTTATTAATAGCAATAATTACAGCATGGTTATGCCATCTAGCTTGGGTCTACAAAGCTGTCTTCTGTGCTTTTCAGTGCCATAAAAAACACCTTTTCTGTTCTATGATCCTTTGCCAGTCAGTTTCCTGGTGCTGTATGTACAGAAGCTTGAGGATTTTTATGGCAGGAGAAGGAAGAAGTCCTTCAGGTTCAGGATAGGCTCTGCTGTGATTTCTTGTTTATGAAATGCTTCTTTCTGGAGAATAAGTGAGGTCAAAAATATTTTTCCACGGGAGGTTAAAATCCTGTGTTCAATATACCTGTAGAGAGCTGGTGATTGCTTTTCACAGTGTTCTGAAAGGAGAATTTGTCCCTGAAATTTTGAAGTTGAGAGGAGTAGAATTAAGACTTTGCCTAATTACTGCTACCTTTCAAAGGTCTATTTTAAGCTGTCTTACTTCAGCCTGAAACATGTGGTAATTTCCAAAAATGTAATTTAATCATATCTGATTGCTTGCTGGAATCTGCAATTAACTTAGGTGCAAGGGAATTAACAATATTTGCCAGGTGCTTCATAATTTACTGGGAGCTGCCTGTGCCACATATATGTTAAGTGTGTTGTTGGCTGTTTAAATTTATTGGCTAGAATATTTTAAGCTTGTAATTGAGAAATTTTTATTGCTTCCTTCCATTTCTATTCTTAGGATGACTCAGATATGAAATACCATGTAATTATATTCTGTATACTATCAAACTATCCTTTGCAATTATGCCACATTGTAGTTGTTCTTTTGAAATATTAGAAGCTACCTATCTTGGAAGTTATTTTTGGGATGCAATTGGTTGCTAAAGTAAAGATTAATTTTCAAGTAATTCTAGACATATGATGAATTAAAAAAACTTAATCTCATTTTTAAAAAGTAGTTCTCATGTTAGAAATCCTCTGAAATCCAATTCCATCAAAAAATGTAGAAGTGGTTTTAGAAAATAAATTTTTCCGTAGGACTACATTTATGTCCTGTTTGAGAGTCAGTTCTTGCATCAGTTGTATAATTAAAAATGGGAAGATAATGGAAAAATTGGCCATCTGCCTGCAGGGAAATAAGTGACTTTGTATTTTGAGTGCATTTCTGAGATCCAGATTAGTACTCTAATCCCTCTCTGAAGCTCCCTTGCATTGCAGATTTCAGAATTGCAGGACAATCTCAGGAGACATAGACTTTGTTCTTCATTTAGTTCTAGAGTCTCATGAAGGTTGAATTTTGAACAAAAGTAAACCTCAGCTTAGTTCTTGGTTCAGAAATCCTGATTGTCACAAGTTTTCATACCTCACGATCTGGAAGAGGGGTTTCTGCTGTCTGACTTCTCTCATTTCCAGACTTGGAAAGATGCCCTCTCAGTGTCTGAAATTCCCTGGAAAATTACTGTGAAAAGAATTGTGAAGATAAATATTTTAACTGGAATACTTGCTTAAATATAGCAGCAACTCTGAGATTAAAAAGTTTATATGTACCCTGGTGGCCAGGGGGTTATCAGAAACTGGCTTCAGACCACCAGTGAGATGGAAGATATCAAAATAAACCCAGCATGAAAGAGAAAATCACTCTTTCCAGTGATTTCATCAGGCACTCAAGATGATGCAACTTTCATTTCTCCAGCACAAAGCAGCAAGTGTGTGCCAGAAGCAAAACCAGTGGGGATGTGCAGTGAGTTCTGCACGTCTCCTGTTACCTGTTATTTACATTGAAACTGGGAAGAAAATTGCTCAAGTCCATTTACAGATCTTTTTTTACTGCTTATAGAACTCGAGAATACTGTCTTTCACTGAAAAGGCTGTGCAGATCTTACATTTCCCAAGGAATAATGCATTCCCATAAAGCTGTCACAGATTCTGAGAAAGCAAAAGATAAGGGGAAAACAGCACAAACCAAACAGATTTGACAGACTTTATCGTTGTCTGAACGAATTGCAATTGATGTAACCATATCAGAGACTTGCAGGTGTTTAGATTTTGAGATGACATTTGAGACTGGAAAAGCAGTATTTGTAGCAACAGACTTGATAAATTTAATCCTGTCTGAAGCTCTGTGTGCCCCCCATACTGATGGGACTTTAGAAGAGGAGAAAAAGTTCATTTATAACCACATACAAGGAAGTTAACAAAAGTTACTGAAAGCTTTTTTTGAGACTGTAAGCTGCCAAAACAAGCTAACTCCTCTAGCCAAAATAAATTGCCAAGTGATTTGCACAAAGTATGTGTGAAGCTCCAGAAAGATCAATCTAGAGACTTGCATCTAAGCGTTTTGGGTTTGGATTTTTTTTCTTTTCTGGTAAAATCCACATACTTGAAGGAACCATTGTCGATGGAAATTAGTTTCCTCTCCAGTTTACAGTCTAGAAAAGTCTGATCCTGACTGCTGAAGTGACCCTGGAGACTAGAGAACAGGATATTGTACAGAACTTCCTTGTGTATATACCAGGTTTTAGAAATTCGGCAGGCTTCTGTTCTGCTTCTGGAGAAGCAAGAGGAACAGTTATTCCTACATTTGCCCTTGAGTTTTTTCCCCATTCTGCTGCTTTCTGCCTGGTTTTACCTTTCCCTTTATCTTTCTCTGTTCTCTCTTATTTTTCTTCTTTCAAACCTTTATATAATTATATGTTGTTTTCTTTCTTCTCTTTCATTTCGGCACTTGGTATAATTCTCATTATCATTGCTAAGTCACTAAAAAGGGCTTTTTTCCTGTCTTGCAGAGTCAGACTTTTTGGAGAGGTTCTCTGTAATGAGTGATTTCCAGAAACACTGACGTGATGGAATCACGGAACAATCAATGAAGGTTGACTGTCCAGAGGTAATTAAAAGCCTCTGTGTTATTTTATTACCATGAAAGCCACGTTCCTGCCAAGGACTGTCTTGTTAAGAAGATGCCAAATCTCAAGGAGATGGCTCAGTAGTATAAGTCATGCATTAGTAGACTGCTGAGCAGAATGTAATGGATCCTGAAAACTGACAATAGGTAATGCCTTTCCTGAAATAGAACTGGAAGGCAGTGATCCTTTGTGCATGTAAAATTCTAGAGAAATGATCCTGCAATGATGATTCAATTAATCTTTTCTATTTGAAGATCCTACACTGATGTTTATACATAGGAAAAACTTGCTTCAGGCAGTTTCCAGAGGCTCCTGTAAGTCACTAAAAAAAAAAGTTTGTTTTCCAAAAGAAGCAAATACCACTCAGTCTATGAGAAAAAATTATATGCTACGCATAGTAAAAATGGAGTAAGTTGGGCTTTTTTTCTGGGTTGTTTTTTCTGAGTTTTTTAAAATGCTTTTGTTAAGAGTTTGAATTCAGGGTTTGCAGAAGTGGGTGCCAAGCTCTGCCTGACGTTTTGCTCAGCCAGCTCAATAAAAGGTGAGCTGGCGCTGTCAGAACTCTGCAGGTGGTTGAATATACCAGGAAATATGCATTTCACTGAGAACCTGGAATTCAGGCTTTCATGTGAACTATCGCAAATATGGATCAGGTACCTTAGTGTGCTGACACAGGGTTTTCAGAATGCTTCTGAAAATTCATCGCCATTTATTGCATGAGCTGAGTCTGAGGAGACTTACCACCATCCTTTAATCTTTTTGCAGGTTTTCAGAAAAGCTCTTAATATACTAGCTCATGTTAGAAGTTGTCAGCACCACTGGCAAGCACTAAAGATGAACATGAAGGAGTTGTACTTTTCTGGATGTGATTAATTCTGGCACAGTACTTGTTCCCATGGCTAAGCCCTGTGTGCACTGCTGTTCTTGTCAGGTTCGTTATGTGTGTTTTCTCTTTCCAAGGTATTATGTCTTCACTGTGAAACATTCACTCAGATTTGGCAGACAGAGTCTGAATCTAGCAGCATGCTGGTCTCCAGGAAAAAATAATTTGTTCCTTTGGAGGGAGGGAAGGGATTTGGATTTTAAAATGCTTCATTGTATTTTATAACACAGAACTTGCTTTACATTTCTGTATACAATATTTCTTGAGCAGTTGCTTAGGGAGTGACCTTGATGATTGCTGAGTAAATTATAACATATTATGTGAAATTTCAAGTTCTGTTCCTAAATGTTAAATTCTAAAAAAGTAATAATAACTCAGAAGATACTCTTAACATGACTGTTTACAAAATGGGTTTTTTTCCAGCCTAGAGCCGTATTTAAAAAGTGGATTTTTAAAGTATATTTTCCCCTCTAAGAAGTCTTGAAATTTTAGCATGGCTAAGGAAGCTAAGTCGAGACACAGGTATTGTGTGTAATCTCTCAGGTCGTCTGAAAGAGATTTAAGAGGAAACAGAAGTGATTTAAAGATCTTCTAAATTAGATACTGTTTACAGAGATAGAAATTCCTAACTGCTGTTGAACTGAAGGTCCACCTAGTTTACTTTTCTGTTTTTAACAGAGGCTACATAGAAAAAAAATCAAAGAATCTTACATTGTTGTATTTCTCATCTCAATTTGCTAAGAAAGCACAGAGCTTATTATGAGTACAACACAAATATGAAGAGGTATTAGTATTCAATACCTCTGCTAACAGTCTCCTGTCAGATTTTTTCATGGTACATAAAGTGAACAACATAAATAGCTTCTAAATACCAATAGATTTTTATTGCTGGGACTGAAAAAGACATAATACTAAAAACATTGACTAGTCAGTGATAACTCTTGGGTGTTTATATTTGCATTGCAACATAATCAAGTAATTTATAGACAGTTGTCTTTCAGCTTCTGTAATGGCTTAAGACAAATGCAAAACCAAAATCCATCATGGCCAGGGCAGATTTGTGGCAAAATGAGGCCAGTTTAGTAATGAATTTGAAGGCTATAGGGATGTTTCTCATCAGTGTCTACTCATGGCTTCAATACACTGATCCATACTTCTCCTTTTTATTTTGGGTATAATTTATTTCATTCTACATAATGCTGACATTCTGGGAAATCTGCCGTAATGAAGAACCTTTAAATTTTAATAATGAATAGTTAACTATGGGCTTTTGGCAGTTTAAGACATAAAATATTCCTCCACAAAAGCACATTTACATTAGGACTTCATATTTTGTTGATTCCAGCAAACTTTTGATTTAACACAGATGAAGGATATCAAGTACATGGTCCAGCAGTCTGAAATTGTGCTTACTCCCAGATTAGATCAGGAAGAGATTTGGAGCAGTGATGCCCTCTCATTTCATTCTTGTCATAAGAATTAGGACTTGGGAACAACTGTCTATTTTTCTGCAATATTTGCTGTTCTGAAGCTGCCACCTCAGATGCCTGTTTTATGGTGAATGATTATCACTGTTAGGCCTGAGGTGAAACCAGTTTCACAGAAAATAGACTGATGAGTATATTTTTATAATAGAATCATTTTGAAATCAAAGCAATTCTTCTGTTTCTTGAACTACAATTTTATCTACTGGCAAATAAGGAATTGCAAATTGTAGTGGCTTTTATTTCAGTCAAATCCATGTAAGTTGGGATACAGACTTCAAGCCAACATGAGTGGGGTTTTAACATTATTATTAGATTATTATATTTATCAGTATGGTGAGTTCCTGGACTGTGTTATTCCAGTTGAATACAATATTCTGAACGTTAAGGGTTAGAGTGTGAGTTTCTTGATGCCACTGGGATGTGGCTTTCAGCCAATGTATTTGTAATATAGTTACTTGTTAAGAGAAAATACTATAGTACATTTTAATCTTCTATACTGCCAGTACTGAAGGAAGTCTCCCTCAGCCTTCTGCTCAGTGGGATAATGTGGCTGATAACCTTTGTATAGTTCAGGGACTTACTTCATTGCTTTCTAATAGAGTTTCTGGAGAGTATAGATTTAGATTACAGTGTCGAATGGCCATGGGGCCTGAGGGAAATATGCTCTCATTAATGGACTTGTTAATGATTATCATTGGAGAGGCTCTAATAGTATCAGATGTAAATGTTGTCAGAGCCGTCCGTCTTTATCATGCAGATATGGAGATGCATCATTAATTCACACAGAGATTCTCAGATCCTCAGAGCTGGGCACATTGATGCAGGGTGATAATGTCTGAAGGAAATTAAAAGCTGTCCGTTATCAATTTAATATTTCAGATTTCTATTTCCAATTAATATGGTCTAAGAGATAAGAGGAATTGAACCACAGCAGAACTATGGGTCATTCAGAAGAGATCAAATGCAGATTATGCCTCTGTCAGTTCCAGCTTCATTATGCTCATTGCCTTCTGTCTGAAAGGGATGAGACAATGCAAATTTATATCAATGAAGTCTCACAGCTGAAAAGTTAAGAACGTATGCAAGCACAATTATTATGCCAATATAAAATAGTTTACAGAACCTAGAAATTTACAAATCTACAGAATCTACACATTTACAAATGTACAATTTTCTGGCCTTTTTCCTTTATTAAAGTACAATAGTGTCTTTTTCCGTTATCATGGCTTCTCATATATTCATAATGCATTGAATGCAACAAATTATAATCTGTCTGAAATTTGTAGCTTTAGACCCTCTACATTAATAGCCTGATTGATAATTATTTCCTGAAATGTAGGAATTTGATTACAAATATTTGGTTTGGAGTTTTAGGATGGACCCAGGATTTTTGTGGCAAACACACCAGATTATTTCTTTGTAACCCTTTGAAATATCAGTGTTTTCAGAAAAAATAAGAAATACAATTTTTCTGTACATAAATGTAAAGGTAGGCTTTTAAAAATAGTAGCAGATTTATAACTCTGTTGTGTCTTGTTTTGGAAATAGTGTCTGGGTGCTAAAATATAATCAAAAAGTAGCTTTTCAATGGCCCATTCTGATACTGGACTGTGTCCTACTGGATGGGTCCCCTAAATGTGAGGAAGAGGGGAGTAGAAGAGCAGATATTACAAATGATGGTGGTGGTAAGTCCTCCTAAAAGGAGGACAAAGTATGACCAGGTAAGTGTAATTTGTGCTGAACTGTAATCAGTTGTGTTTGAAAGAATTAAATTCCAAACTTGCCAAGGACAAATGGACAAGGCGTAAAAGAATTTGCTCCTGGAAGGTGAATGGGATATCCCTAACAAGAGATTAATGAAGTGAACAAAGGAGGGAGACATTATTTTAGATCAGTGGAGAATCAAACAAAGCATGAACAAAGCATGTACATCAAACTGGGGAGTAGTTCTCAGAGGAGCACATGGAATAGTGAAAAAACGAACAGCACATGACTGGAACTGGGAGGTCCCGAGATTCTCTTGAGTCTGCCTAAAAATGTTACCATGTGGGGGAAAACTTTAAGAACATTTTTTACACCTATCTCTGAAGCATAAATCAGCTACAGCATTAATCTGCTGCAAACTATGAAACTGAGAGAATGTCAATGAAATGCATTAGAGGAATTTTTCAAAAGACTAAATTGTAAGGTCCACATCTGGAGGATGCTGTCTATATCCAACTGCCATGCTGGGTATGGAAAGATATATGAAAGATAGTGGAAAGTAAGGCCTTGCAGGACTAGAAAAGATGTAAAAATGAGTATTAACAAATGAAATTTACGTGAGACACTCTTCTTTTATGCAGTAAGGGAAGTAATCTGTGAAAGGAGATCTTAATGCAGCTGTGGGAGAGAATTCCTGCTCGGTGCTCCCAGCAGTCAGGGTGGAGGCACCTGAGCTGGGACTGTCCTGGCTGGGGCCGGGCAGGGGCCACAGTTCCACTGCTGGCTGCTGGCACAGGGAGTGAGCAGAAGCTAAAACACAAAGCTCTTAAGTAAGGCTTCAGTACTTTTAGCTTCGTGAGAGGAAGAAATACTATAAAAAGCTTTATTTCTAGCATTTCCTGCCCACGCTGCTGTTCACTTGAGTCTCACACAGCTTTTAAATTATTGATAAATCTATGAAATGAAGGATTCTAATTATTTATCTCCAGTGAACAAGTGCAAACATCTGCTATTGGTCCAGTGCTGCTATAAAATGTAATCTTATTAAATTGCTGTTATAAGTTAAGAGAGGAATCAGTGCACTTTTTCCAAAATCTTACATATTCCTCTGGCATTATTCTTGTTGCAGTACACTTTGCTCGTTTTTGAATCCCCAGATTGAAAAATAATGCTCACTTGCTGTTTGGGCATTGTCTTTTGTAGGAGGCTGCTGAGCCCTGCAGGTTTTTGACAATGTGGAGTATGCATTGTAAGGTCTATAACAATTACCTGGCTTGCTGTGAAATTTTGGAGGAGTGAAACATTAGCATTATTTGTGCCATTTTTTTTTGGTGAAAAGTAGAGGTACTCATCTCAGAGGATGTCTCTCTTATCCAGACTCATTTGTTGTGGTATTTCTGTTGCAGCCAGTGCAAAATACAAAATTTGTCATCTATTCATCTCAGTCTCTTTGTCACACTTGTCACCTGCTTTCAATTTCCTCCTAGGAAGTCCCTTCCTATCCCCATTGTATGGTTCTAATTTGAATAATCCTAGTCCTTCCAGAGCTCTTTCCCCAAAGAAATATTTCACTGTACACACCACTTAGCGTGTTGATATTTCTTGTTAGTATGCAGCATCGTGTTAGCTCCTCTAGATAACCTTGATAAATTAAAAATTGGCTTATCAATATTCAATCAACCTAGCTCATTTTTCCAAATGTCTGATTTCCTTTCTGTCAGAGCTGAGCTAAAAAGGCACTGCAAAAA